TCCAAGGTGTGCGACGTAGACGCAAGAGTAGGAATTAGGTATGGTCTTGCAAATTCAACTAGATACTCAGAAGCAGAATTAAACCCCATTCTCCCAAATCATCTCAGTGACGATGCTTTCAAAGTCAATAATTCATATATTTAGAAGGCATGAAAAGCGAAAATTTGAATAATTTGATCCTTTGTAATAAGTATGGAAAGGTAAGATTTAATATAAATATACTAAGCTAGTTTTGGCTTTTTTATACACATCCCCATGCAAGATTTTTCTGGCTCTTCTTCGATATGAGAAAACACTTCTCACACAACACTCCAATTACGTTGTTCGCACTTTCATTTGTAATTCGCACTCCAATCATATGCCGAACTACGCAATTCGCCGTACAAGTTTTTGTGAACGAATTTCGACAAATGTTTGTAATTCACTCTCAATTACCTTACGATATACGATCTAATCGATGTAATCTCTAATTTTAATCGGAAATTTATCGAAATCAGTTGACAAATCAAAACAAAAAAAATTAAAACCCATAGAATAAATACTAAAACAACTTTTATTAACTTAACTCTTGTTTGAAACTAAACACTCTTTCTACATTGAAAATTACAAAATCAGATGCTTTTAAGAAATTATAATGTCCAAACGAATAACAAACTTTTTTCAAACATAAGCAGAGTAAGATAGTTTACTTCTGATTGAAAGTTTTGATTTAATGAAGTTTTTTTGACCGATACACCAATTCAATTCAATATTTGATAAACTTTCACTAAAAACTTTTCCCTGCGCTTTCAAATAAAACCAACGAAAGATAGAATGGGGTAATTCGCATTTGTAATTGAGATGACGGACAATGTAATGTAATAGAAATTGTAACCAAATCGTGGCTTTCACGGTTCAATTCTTATCCAAAATTTATCGAAATCAGCAGTTCAAACAAAACTGATAATAGTCAAAAAGAAAAATGGAGAAGTTAGAGTGTATTGAAAAATTAAATAATGTCAACGCAGTCATTAAACTTTCTGGTATTACGTGAATAGCAGATGATATTGTGATTAAAATTCTAATATGAATGACATAATGGAACATTTTCTCTATCGTATCATTGTATAACGATTTTCAGATCGTCAAAATGACTGATAGACAAATTATTGTTATTTCTTTAAGGTTAAGAAAAGTAATGTAAATCGGGAGATTTCCTAAATTATATAAAAATCAAAATAAAATTATGAACAAATATGGCTTCTGAACATTTGGCATACGTTTAATCCCAAGATAAGGAGGTTTTATTCCCTTCAGCATTGGGTAGAAGTTTGCTTCCGTAAGTTGAAGATCGTTTCCATTTGAATGCAACTGAGTTTTTTGATAGCCAACTAAAAGGCAGAAAATAACAGCATTGTCTACGGATAAACAGGTAATAATATAGCTTTTAAATGTCTTTTCAGTTTTCATTTACTTACTTACTTCACTGGCGCAGACATCGCATACGCCATTTTGGCCGATTTAACAATATTGCGCCATTGGTTTCTTCTTTTTGCGTTTGGCACCAATTCGAAACACCAAGTACAGCCAGGTCCTTCTCTACTTGATCTTTCCAACGAAGTGGAGGTCTTTCTCGTTCTCTGCTTCCACCGGCGGGTACTGCATCGAAAACTTTCAAAGCTGGAGTATTCGCATCCATCCGGACCACATGACCTAGCCAGCATAGCCGCTGCTTCTTGATTCTCTGAACTAAATCAATGTCGCCGTTGCCAACGCGCAAAGGACCACAAATCTTATGAAAAACCTTTCTCTCGAGAACTCCTAACGCCAACGCCAGATATTGTCATCGTCTATGCTTCTGCACCATATAGCAGGACGGGATCGATGAGGGACTAGTAGAGTTTGGTTTTCGTTCGTAGGGAGAGGACTTTACTTTTCAATTGCCTACTCTGTCCAAAGTAGCACCTGTTGGCAAGAATGAATCTGCATTGGATTTCAAGGCTGACATTATTGTTGGTGTTGATGCTGGTTCCTAGATAGACGAAACTAACTACGACTTCAAAATTATGACTGTCAACAGTGACGTCGGAGCCAAGTCGCGAATGCGATGACTGTTTGTTTGATGACAGGAGATATTTCGTCTTGTTCTCGTTCACTACCAAACCCATTCGCTTCGCTTCTTTATCAAGCCTGGAGAAAGCAGAACTAACGGCGCGGTTGTTGAGGCCGATAATGTCAATATTATCCGCGTACGCCAGTTGTTATGCACTCTTAAAGAAGATTGAACCTTCTCTATTCAGCTCTGCATGTCTTATTATTCTCTCCAGCATCAAATTGTAGAAATCACACGACAAGGAGTTACCCTGTCTGAAACCTCGTTTGGTACCGAACGGCTTGGAGAGGTACTTCCCAATTCTGACTGCGCTTCTGGTGTTGTCTAGCGTCACCTTACACAGCCGTATAAGTTGTGCGGGGATACCGAATTCAGATATAGCGGCATAGAGGCGGCTCCTATTCGTGCTGTCGAAGGCGGCTTTAAAATCGCAGAAGAGGTGGTGTGTGTCGATCCTCTTTTTACGGGTCTCTTCCAAGATTTGGCGAATGGTGAATATCTGGTCAATGGTTGACTTACCAGGTCTGAAGCCACACTGATAAGGTTCAATCAGTTTGTTGACGGTGGGCTTCAGTCTTTCACACAATACGCTTGATTCGACCTTATAGGCGATACTAAGGAGGCTTATTCCACGTTAATTGGCGCAGACTGTGGGGTCCCCTTTTTTATGGATTGGGCAGAGAACACTTAAGTTGCAATCGTCGGCCATGCTTTCAGCGGACCATATTCTGCAAAGTAGCTGATGCATGTACCTTATCAGCTCTTCTCCGCCATGTCTGAATAGCTCTGCCGGTAGGCCGTCAGCTCCTGCCGCTTTGTTGTTTTTTAAGCGGGCATTGCTATCCGAACTTCTTCGTGGTCAGTTAATGGAAGGTCTTTTCCACCGTCATCGATTGGGGTTTCCGGTTCACCATCTCCGGATTCTCCATTTTCACTACTATTCAGCAGGTTGGAGAAGTGTTCCCTGCATAAATTCAATATATTCCGGGCATCGGTGGCTAGATCACCTCCTTGAGTCCTACAAAAGTCTGCTCCGGTCTTGAACCCTTCTATAAGTCGTCGTAACTTCTCGTAGAATTTTCGAGCATTACCCTTTTCGGCCAGCTTCTCAAGCTCTTCAGACTCACGCATCTCGGCCTCTTTCTTTTTTTGTCTGCAAATGCATCTTGCTTCCCTCTTCATCACTCGGTATCTATGTTGTGGTCGACCGCAAGGTTGCGAGGTAAGCAATCTGTTTTCTCTCCACTACGACGCGGCAGTCTCATCGTACCAGCTGTTCTTGCTACCTTTACGAAATCCAATAGTTTCGTTCGCAGCTGTACGTAGAGAGCTTGAAATGCCGTCTCACAGTTCCCATATACCAAGTTGCTGTTGAGTGCTCTCAGAGAGCAGGCGTGGAAGTCGAGTAGAAAATCGTTCGGAAGTCTGTTGTGATTGCAGTTCAACGTCGAGCTTTCCTTGTGTTTTTTGGCGTGCGTTCTTCGATACACAGAGGCGCATGCGTACCTTTGCTGCGACAATATGTGTGTATACGCAAGTCAAGAAAACTGGAGACATGTCTTCCGTCTATCACAACATGATCGATCTGGTTTTGTGTCTTACGATCCGGTGACAGTTAAGTAGCTTGATGTATTTTTTGTGCTGGTATGTAGTACTACAGACAACCATATTTTGGGTCCCGGCGAAGTCGATCCGCCTCAATCCAACAGTTATACCTAAGATACCTTCTTTGCCCACCCTGGCATTAAAGTCCCCAAGCAAGATTGTTTCGGAGTGTCGGGGTCAGCGTAAGTATGCTCTAGGCGCTCATGAAAGGCATCTTTGGCCAACTCGTCCTTCTCTTCCGTCGGGGCGTGGGCGCAAATCAGCGATATGTTGAAAAATTTCGCTTTGATGCGGATTGTGGCGAGACGCTCAGCCACCGGGGTGAATGCCAGTACTCGACGACGGAGTCCCTCTCCCACCACAAATCCAACACCAAATTTGCGCTCCTTTATATGGTCGCTGTAGTAAATGTCACAAGAACTTACTCGCTTTCGTCCTTGTTCCGTCCGTCGCACTTCTTGGATGACGGTGATGTCAGCCTTCATTCTTACGAGGACATCAACCAGCTGGGCAGCAGCACCTTCCCAATTAAGGGATTGAACATTCCAGGTCATGTCCTCAAATCGTGATCCTTTATTCGTATTTCACAGAGTTAAGTAACCATAAACCTTTTAAAAAACACGCTGAGAAAATTTCATATGAGCTTAGGTAGAACGACGAAACACATTGCTGTATGTCAATTCCTTATAGAACTCGTCGGTGACAACACTGGTGTTAAATGATGCGAGGAAAACTGTGTGTTAACGAGAGAATAAACTGTTAGTTAGTAAACTATGTGTTTCCAAGAAAAATAGCTAGGTGTTCGCTTACAACGAAGAAACTGAACTTTTATTTAAAAATCCAAAGATCCGATCCGAACTATTTGGTAAATCATTGAGGTTAATTTATCAAAATCGTTACAGTATTTTTTTCCGATTCTTTAGTCCACTTCTTTAATTAAACTAATAAAGCAGTGGCAAAATTTTCGAGCTCTACTATCTTTTCCCATAATATTTCAAACATTCGGAAAAGCAACTAGCATAAGGCAAAAAAATTAAAAAAAAAACAGGATTTCAATGATTGAAACACTAATAGACGTTGCACAGGCAACAGGATTTGCACACGTGCAATAATATTCCATAATTACTAAAAACACGCTGTGAAAATAGTTAAATTCTGTGACGACAATAACAAGGGCTGATTGATATAATTTACAATGAAGCAGTTATCGGCGCGATCTGTGCTGGAAATACGGTGAACTTTTTATCGAAACAATTGTTTACATGGACGTGAAATATCTGGCATCTTATGGAACTTATTGTGAATGTTAAAGTTCTTGTAATTTGCGTACAACCGGGTTTGTGTTTTGCCGCTGTGTATAGACAGTTTTTCGCGTTTCAGCATTTAATTTACCGAATTAAGAATTGTATCTGCAGTAATTGTTGTGATTAGTTTTAATAGCTGGAAGTAAATTAAGATGGATCTTTCGGGTCCCTTGTTAATTTCCAACATTCTGTCTACTGAAGAATTGGAGCAAACGCCGTCTGTGGTACAAGAAAAACTTAAAACATGGATTGAGGGATTCTGTGATGAATATTGCAAAAATAAAGCTGCAGCCAATCGTCTTCGTAAGTAGATTTGGCTGCATATATGTACAGATTGTATTATTATCTGATAATTTATTTAAGTACTCAAAAATATAACCTATAAAATTTGGCGTCTGCTGCACTTTTTGCAAACACCAAAAATGTAAATGCACAAAAAAAAATATATATAACATACTTATACACATCATATGTATAGAAAAAAGAAATAGGTATAGCATGTAAACGAAAAAGATTTATATATGTATGTACATAATTTTCCGTTTTCAAATTATTTCCTATATAATTAGATGACTATGAGCAGAAAGCTGAGGAATTGCAGGCGCATATTCAGGACTATGATGTTAAATTAGAAAGCCAAAACAAAAATGTCGACGAATTACGTACTCAGCTGGACAACGTTTCAATTGAACGTGTTCAATTACTTGAACAATGCAGTAATCATGAAATCGAAATGATCGCTCTAAGAAACGAAAAGAATTCTATCGCAGAAGAACGCGACTCCTTGTTGAAGTTAATCGAACGTCAAAAAAGTGAGTTGGATAGATTGCAAGAAGAAATTCATTCATATCAACAACAACTTAAGAATGCTATCACTGCGAAATGTGAGGCAATTGCTAGAGTGGATGAAATCGAAAGCCAAAAAGTTTCACTTGATTTTAAGGAACGCCGCATGGAACAAGAACGTACAATGCTTCACAACCAAATTCGGACCCTAACAGACGATTTGAATAGAAATATATCCGAACTTCAAAGCATTAGACGTGAAAATACTGTGCAAGGTATGCATCTTGAAGCAAAACTTTCCGATAAAACAGAAGAACTCAAAATAGCTCAAACACAATGTGCACAATATAAGGAAACTATTGATAGGCTTACACAAAATGTTCAAGATTTATCAAACAAACTTCTAAACCAAAACGAGGAGGCAAACAAGATGATGGACTTTTATAAAAAAGAGTTAGAAGCTAAAACAAAATTAGCTGAACTTTACAAAAGCAATTGTGAAGATACAGATGTTGAGAGAAATGAACTGAGTGCTGCTATAACAGACCTTAAGCGAATGTTGGCCGAGGCCAGTGAGCAATATGGCGACCTGGAAACTAAATTTAAAGCAACTGTATTGCAACATGAGGCAGAACTGGAAGAACGTGACAAAGTAATTGAGTCTCAGAAAGCGGAGCTTCAACATGCAAACGACTTATTAAAAGAGTTGCAAGATGAAACCATGGAGAGTGCTATATCGAAAATAGCACCATCTGCTGCAATTGCTAGTCGCTTGATTAGAACCGATATGTCATTGACTGAGTTATATTCACTCTATGTTAAAAGCTCTGAAGAATTGGATCTACAAAAAAGAGAAAATGCTCGACTAAACCTACAACTCAAGACAATATTACAAGAATTAAGTGAAAATGCTCCTGTAATCAAAAAGCAAGAACTAGAATACGAAAAATTAATAGAAACGAATAACATTTTAGCCCACCAACGTGATGAGTTATTAAGTAAGAAGGCAGATATGGAAGATTTAATGGGTAACGCACATTCCAAAATAAATCACTTAGAAAGAGAAAACAAAAAACTCAAGAATTCTCAAAATGATCTTAGTAGACAGGTTTGTTATTTGCTAAAAGAAGTGGAGCAGTTGCGTATTGGTCTTATTGCTGACAATAGCCCCAATCAAGGCGGAAATCTCTCTACCACTGATGATGTAATTTCGAAGAAATTAGTAACATTCAACAGCATTGTCGAATTGCAAGAGAACAACCAAAAACTTTTACTTCTCGTACGCGATTTGAGTACCAAGTTGGAAGATGCTGAAACATTAAAACAACAGATGGATGCGGCGGCATATCAAGAAAAAATTGAAAACTACGCCAAAAAGTTCCAATCAATGCAAGAAACATTGAATCAACAAAACAATACCGTTGCAACATTGGTATCAAAATGTGAACGTTACAAGAAAATGTACTTTGATATTCAAAAAAATATTCAAAAGTCTGGTCAGCAGTCAGAACACAGCGATGTTGAAGAAGTAGAAATGGCTGATATTGATGAAACTGAAAACAAAAACACAACCAATTCTTCAATTCAAAGTAAAAATCGAAAATCTATAGATAACAACGCGGAGCGCCGTATTAGAGACCTGGAACAGCAATTGCAAGATGTTCGGGAACAACATAAAACATTAAAAGAGCAATATGAATACTATACACAAGAGAAGAAAAACAATGAGCGAATTTTGAATGAGCAGTTCGATTCTATGCGCACAGAAGTAAGAGAGTTGACCTCAACAAACTGCAAGCTAATGTCTTCATTAGAATACAGTAAAGAACAGATCAAATTGCAACAAAAGAATATATCCACCTACAAGCAGCAAATCACAGCACTCGAAGATCGAAACAAAAATTATGAAAACACTATAATAAAACATGAACAGACAGTACATTATCTAAAGGACGAAGTAATGAAAGCACAGCATGGATATTCAGCTGCACAAAGCGAGGGCTCACACCTACGTAGTGAAAATCGTATCCTCAAGGATACAGTAAACCGTCTGCAGGCCGAAAAGGAAGGCTATCACCGTGAGCAGCAGAATCAAAATCTACTTTTGAATAATTTGGAGTTAATTAAATCGAATTTGGAACGCTCTGAAATGGAAGGTCGTGCGCGATTGGAGCAAAGGTTAGACGAAACAGTGCGCGAATTGTCCGCTCAGCGTCGACGCTTTCAGGAGGAGGAAGACCGTTTCCGAGAAACAACCAGTGATTTGAAACGGCAAGCGGAAACAGCTAAGAAGTGTATGGAAGAAGAAAGAGCTCAATCGCAGAAACTTCGTAATGAGCTACATGCAGTTCGTGAAGAGCTCACAACCAAAGCAAATCAAATCGATGAATTAAGCAAAAAATTACAAGAGAGTTTAACTCCTGCTAAAAATGACAATCCAATTGCATTGGCAAATAAAAAAGCACGAGAATTCGAAGTCAAACTGGAAGAAGCTAAAATTGAAATTAATTCCTTGACCACTGAACTGGCTAAAGCTCGTGAACATGCCGATCAGTATTTCAAAATGTCACAGAGTGCTGAGGCTGAAATAAAAAATCTTCATGAAATTCATACCTCATACACTGCAAAAGCAGAATCTGAACTGAAGGAATTAAAATTAATCGAATTGAATTTGAAATCAAGAGTAACTGAATTAGAAGCAGAATTGCAATTGGCGTCTGTAACAGAGGACCCAAGCTCAAACCAATCTGATCAACTCAAAAAGTCTAAGGAAGAACTAAAAGATGCCCTACAAAAATTGGGTGAATGTAATCGTAACCTTCGCACATTACGAACGGAAAATACTTCTTTATCCGAATCCCTAAATGCTGTACAGGCAAAATATGCAAATGAAATGGTTCTGCATTCAGCTGATATACAAGAGCTCACTAAGGTCAAAGCAGAAATGACCAAAATCCAAGATCAAATCAATGAATTAATCACTGAACGAGATTGCGCAAAGAATTTGTATGAAGAACTTAAAGGTTCTCACGACGAATCATTACGCTTGCTCCAAACCGAAAAAGATGAATTAGAGAAACGCATAGTTGATCTAAATTGCCTGAATTCGAGTTTGCACGACCAAATTGAGGCATTAACGATGAAACTAAGCATTCTTAGCCAACCTCAGGCTTCCAACATTTCGTCAAATTCCATAAACGAATCGGCTATGGATACTTCTGCCGATTTGAGTCGTTCGATGTTGGAAGATGATTCCAAAAACAACAATCAGTTACTACAAATCATTAAGTATCTACGCAAGGAAAAGGATCTTATAGACGCCAAGTTGGACATATTAAAGGCGGAAAACGCTCGATTGCAATCTGAGAATATAATTTTGCAAAAGAAAATGGATGAATTAAAGGGTAGTCTTAACCAGGAACGCGCCAAATCTGAAACGTTAGTAGTTTCAACCACAAAACATGAAGAAATCCTTCGGAAGATAGAAAATCTAAATGCCATTACAGACAGCAATAGGATATTGCGCGAGGAACGAAACTCTTTGGCTGCACGTGTGAAGGAGCTAAATGAACATATTAACACTATTGAAAACGATTTATTGCCATTGCAAAACCAAAGTCGTGAACTTTCCACAAAAATTGAGGAGCTAACATCCGAAAATACGTCCTTACGCACGGAAGCTATTAAATGGAGACAACGTGCCAATGTATTAGTAGAAAAGAGCAATAAGAATCCCGAAGAATTCAAACGGCTGCAAACTGAAAGAGAAAATCTTGCCAAGATGTTGACCCATGAGAAAGATTTGCTAAAACAGACAACTGATGAACTAACTGCAATAAAGGCCGAAAAACTTCAAAGAGAAACGGAGATTGCTTCGTTAGAAAAACAAATCCAAACACTTAATGAGGAAAAGAAGAAACTGAGCGATGATTACTCAGGTGTACGACAGAATAATATGCGTATGCTGCAGGAGATTATGGAATTGAGAAATAAATTGTTGCAAAAAGAAGAGTCATTGCAGAAGCTTACCGAAGAAATGGAGTCTAAGGAAGCTCAATTGCAGGATTCTAAGAATAAAGAATTCCAGATCCGTAAAATTGCCAAACGTTATAAAGATTCTTACTTGGAACTGTCAAATAAAACAGCAGCCGCTTCAGCAGATGGGTCAGCAACCACACAGGATAACATGGATCTGGGCGGCAACAGTGGAGCAGATGGTTCTGCTGCTAATACTGCGACCGCAACTGCCGTAGCCAATGAATTGGAGCAGCATCGCACTACAATTGAAAACCTTAATGGTGTCATACGCACAATGCAAGAAGACAGCGATAAGTTGCGCAAAGACTACGACGACTTGAAAACTGCTGTGGAAATTGATGACCGCACCAAAACACTTTTACGTGAAGCCAAAGCGCGCATTGTAAGTTTAACTGAGTCTAAAAATGCTATCACTCAAGAACTGAATACAACAAAGAGCAAGCTACAAAACGTTTTGCAAACTTCAGAGAATGCAGACTCAACTATAAATAGTCTCAAAACTCAATACGAGGAGACACTAGCACGACTTGAAAAGGAATTGTTGGAACAAAATAATCAGAACAAAGAATCAATTGCTCGTTTAACCAGGGAAAATGAATCCCTATTGATGCGCATTAATCAACTAAATCGACAACTTGGCTTACAACAATCAGCTAAGCCGTCTACTAGTTCAGTTGCTATAACAGATAAGGGCTGTATTTCAGAATCCTCACCGCGTACAGCAAATGTTAAGCCAATGTCGGGTTCGACAACCGTACAACAATCTGCAACAGTCACACCATGGCGTGGTAGTGAAACTCCCTTGGCTAGTATTAGACCAATATCAGTACAGAATAGTCGAACAGCAGCCATTCTGCCAACTAGCCAACAACCAGCAGCCGGTGGTTCTTCGACTTCGACATCAACATCATCGTCAAGTACAACAACAGCTTCAACCGGTAGTAGTAGTAATACTGCACTAGTTCCGCCTCAACAACAAGTACACACCACCGGCAGCAGCTCAATTGAGTCGATGTCATCATCACCAACTTCATCCCACACGGATTATATGCCATCTACTAGTAGCTCTGCTTCTGTAGCCGTTGCTGCGATTCCACCGATGGGCTCGACCTCAGCTGCTGAGAGTTCCCAAGAAGCTGAAAGCGTCCAACAACCACAACAAAATGAATCGCAGTTACTAGTTGGTAGTGGTCAGCAACAGGTTGTAGCGCTCGTTTCCCCGCGAGTTGAAGGTTCCTCGCAAAATGTACCAGTCCCAAATCTGCAACTACAGCAGGATTCCGGAAATCAGCAGCCTAGCACATCAGGTACTACTAGCTCCAGTAGCCATATCGCTGTGAGTAGCCACAGCCGACATACTCCATCGAGCAGCAGTGTTACCACCTCCCAGGCCGGTACATCTGGTGGTCATAAGCGACCCCGAGATCTAGAAGGTGACTCATCTACGAATGTCGAAGATTCTGCCGCTGACAAGACAACAAAACATCCAAAACGCTTGCGTGGTTCTGAGCCAGCCATTTTGGGCGTAACAGAATCTGGAATAGATGTTGAATATCAAGTTCCAACTTCATCACAACGTGATCAGGAAGATGATATTGTTGTAGTAGACTCTGAAGAGGAAGATGACGGTATGATAGATGCTGATGATGGTCCAACAGATGGAGACGCGGAAAACGAAGGATATGAGGACTCTTACGAGCAAGACCAGGATATGGACGAAAATGAAATTCCAGAAGTAAATGAGAGTAATATTCGCGCAGATGCCGAGGTCGATAATAACGAAGTAGATGTTGATGAAGGTACTGAAAATCAGGCCCAATGCATCTCTGGCACTGACAACCAATCTGACATTCATTACAATACTGGAGCGAGCACAAGCCAAGCAGCAGCAGCTGCCATGGCACATAGCCATGAAATGGACAGCAATCAACAGAGTCAAACAATCAGCAGTGGCAGCTATGAATCTAACACAATTGCAACTCAACCGATTGGGACGCAATGGAAACAATCTCGCCCACAAAAAACAACAATAATGGTTCCACAACAAGGAGTGAGTGGAAATGCAAGTGAAAGTGGTGAACAGGATCCCAGTGGAAGTCGTCCATCGGACAGGTAGAAAAATTCTTGCCTATAGATATTTATTTGCCGTTCCCATAGAGTACAGCATAAACATATTTTTTTCTTTTAATTAGCGGTGCTGAACTTGTAAGCTCACCACAAGGTTCGAAATATGGTGCAACTGAAACAATCACTCATTCTGAACAACTTGAAGGTAAAGAAGCTACAAATAAGGGTGTTGAAGAAAATATTGCAGAAAGTGAAGAAATGGTTGGTGAGCGTAATGATGAGAACACGCTTGATGCTCCAAAAAGTGGAGGAACAAATGATGCTGCGTTGGTTGTAGAAGAAGATATGGAAAATGTTGAAGAAGAATTTGCAGAGGAAACTTGTATAGTAGAAGCCCCTGAAAATATAGATAGTGAAAGTGAGTGATAAATACTTAGACATACATATACATATGTACGAGTATATCTGAAGAAACATTTAAAATTATAAATCTTCTTTGATAGGCCATCACAGCAGTGGAGCAACACAGTCCGAAATACAAGATATCCAGCAAAATCAAGTTGAAGCTACATCTGAGGATAATGATGGCGCAGACGGAGTTTCATCAGAGGGTGAAAAGCCAGCTGTAGAAGAAGTTGAAGTAAATATTTTAAAGTGGGAAGAAAGAACTTTGATTTAATATTGTCAATGTATATATGTTTTTTCAGGAAGAGGGACGTGAAGCGGAAGCATCTACATCACCTTCAATTACTACACGCTCTAAAGCTATTAAAGGCAGTGGAAATGTACGTAGGCCCTCCCGAGGTTTTCAACGCGGAGGAAGACCAACACCTATAATTTGGCAAGGTATGTACATATCACTAAATCGAAAAATCAGGACTCAAAACATCTCAAAAGTTCATGTGATTTGAAAGTACTTTTTGTAGTCGTTATGGATGTGTTTTTTGAAATGGTATTGACAAATTTTGAGTTGTGACGGTTTAAGGTTATGTGTGCAATATAATAATTCTCATGAAACGAATACGGCAATCTGTAATTGTGTTCTTTGAATTTACAGATGGCGCTGGCCACTCGCGTAATGTATCCCCAAATCATCGAGGTCAAGACACTCCCGGTAGTCCACTGCGTGGCTTCCCCAATCAGCGTTCTCAACGAGCTCGACGCATGCGACGTCCAACGGGAGGAAATTACGGAAATATGCGTTACTCATAAATATTAGCCATTACATGTAGTATTTAAAAATAAAAACACAATTTTCTTTATATTCCTAAATATATCAAATAACAATTTGGAAACTACTATTATTCATGTATTTCACTTATGTATGAAACGAGGAGGACCCAATATTTTGGGGCAAAATCAGCTTTAACTTATCGAGGTGAACCAACGGGAAGTCTAAAAGGCCAAACGGTTCGTGACATAGGGAAATGGGGGTTAGATGAGTAGGTTTTGAAGGGACATCATAAGATTCGTAGGGAGCCTCGTTGCATGCGAAAAATCTGTTGGGAATATATTGTTTGCACAGCACAGCATTATGCTACTAGACGCGTAGCATAGATGTTTTGGCTAGAATGCTTTTAAAAGGACGCTATCCAACGGAGCAATAAATAAATATTATCTAGATATAAAAAGAGCTTTGTCCTAAGGGGATGAAACTTGAGGGGTGTGCTCTGCGTATGAGGTAAGCACCTGATAAGAAAGGGCTTACCCGGAGCGGACCTGAGATCGATCAAGAAAAAGGAAAGACATCAAGACGCAAAACCACAAATTCGAGGAAGAGCTCGACCGTAAATCGCTTAAGCGGCTACAAAGCGCCAATTAGATATACATATGTATTTTGATAGATTTAGAATTTTGTGCAACTAGTAGCTTGAGTCAATTCCGGGGTGGGACCAATCTAATAAAAGAATCAAATTTGTTACAAAACAAATTTTTGTCCAAATTAACATTTGAAACACATTTTCTTCGTGGAAAGGGAACCGCTCCATTTCTAGTTCGATTTGCTTGAAATTTTTGCATGTTTAAAACGATCCAATTAAAGACTGTTACTGCAGGACAGTTCTTAGACCTGTTGAATAAAACAGGAAATGGTGATTTCCCGGAACAGAATAACAATATAATTGTGACCTCAGCATTGGGAGCAATTGTGTCGACTGTAGAAGAGCTCATTGCTAAAATTTACCTAAGCATAAATAGTCTTCACGTTACCTTAAAAATATAACAGAATTTTATTTTATTTTCATGTATGTATGTATGTACATAAATATAAGTATTCAAAAAATGTTACATACTATAAATTACAGTAAAGTCTGGAGCCAGTTGAGTGCTGGCAGTATGGGGTCACGTTACGCGTGCTGAAGAGTGCCATTCCTCCCTTCTTTTCGCTGTCTGGAGCTAGTTGGAAATACCAAGTGAAACCAGGTCGCTCTCCACCTGATCCTTCCAAAAGAGTGTAGGGACTTTCAAAAATTAAGTATCGTTGGAAAGGTGACTGAAATTCCTATTTTCTGATGTAACAAAAAATACTAATTTTTTAAGGAACAATTATTTTTCTTAAAATTTTATGTAATGAATCAATCATAAAACCATATTAATTAAAAAGGCCATAAAAAACCTTTAATTCGTTGTATCACACTTTGTAATTTCTTTTCAATAGAGCAAAAAAAATTACGTTTTAATTGTGCTATAAACAAGAACTAACACCATACCCTAATTTGTAAACTTCGCTCAAGAATACTGTGGAAGGCGAAGCCGGTGTTGGTTCAACCTAGGGTTACAATCCAAAGCGCTGCCGAAGACCGCCATCTCACACAGGAGTTCCACTCAAGAATACTGTGGAAGGCGAATCCGGTGATGTTTCGGCCCAAGGTATATATCAAATTAAAGGTATTCCCATGCAATTTTTATTCCTAATAGTATAGCTAATGGTTGATGAGACAAAATGTTAAGAAAAAAATAGATGTTCTATAAAAATAACTTTAGTTTTTTTACTGAACTTTCTCAACTCTTATCTTCGGACATCAAAAAAAGGAATTTCACTTACCTTTCCAACGAAATCAAATTTGGTGTACAACTTTTTGAGATAAGGCGTTTTATATTTTTCGAAAATTCCCCTTCGCTCCCAAAATCAAAAAAAAAATTATATCATTAAAATAAGGAAATTGAGCGGACCAAAATCACTTTTTTATTTTGTTCTATCTTAACGGTCTGTATTCTGCACTTGTTCCGAAATTTTTTGATTTACCTGAAATTTATCGGCACGATGCAGAAGTATAATATTCGCCTTTGCATTATAAACTTTTCAATGATTTCTAATTTTATAACTTTCAACATACAAATAGATTTGCTGTTTGTTTGTTTCAGTAAATTTTTTCTGGAGTTTCATTTTTATTTTGATTTGTCGACTTGTCGCAAAACTGCCGATCCAAATTAGAGAAGACAACAATTTTTCGTACTTCAAATGGTAATTGGGAAGGAATTACCTTTTTGTCGTAATTCGCTCTCAAAAATTTGTATATGAATATGCATATATTATAATAATTGACACTGAAGAGATTTTCGACCAAGCTTCTCCTCCAATTTGCGGTTTTTGTGCCACTGCAGGTGCCAGTTTATTCTAAGCCACCTCCGAATAGCTAATATTTTTTTGTGAGGAGCCATTATTTCTTGTCTTAAATCCCCAAGGAAAGGTTGACATTTACCTAAATGCCGGATATGTTCTAAGCTATAATGATTGCTTCTAGGGAATATGTTAGTATAGCTCGAAATAGAGATGAAGAAAAATAGTTTAACGTTTATTTTTAACGTTACCATAATTATGCACTTATAAATTAGAATTAAGAAACGCAACCTTATCTCCCTGAAAGATCTTACGAACCAATAGTTATTAGCTCCTGCCCCATTTTGAGATATCAAATCGGTTGAGTACGATATTTATGAAGTCGAGATGTGTTTAGATTCAAACTTTAAAATATAGTTTTCATACTATCGTTGAACTTTTGGTATGTCTCCTCAGTTTACTTTGTAAAATTCCACATGCAATCGAGTCGGTTTAAAAATAATTAATTAAACTGAATTAATTAAAATGTTCCGATGATAACAAATTATTCAAGTCTTATAGAAGGATCGAATCCTCTACCCTGTTCATTTTGCGTACCCATAACCAGTATATGGGTCTACATCAAGGCAATGAATATTTTTCGGCAAAATTTCTCTTTTAGCAATCTTCTTCCTTTTTTCTTTCCGTAGCAAATTCCAATAAGGCATTGAATAAATCTTAGAACTATTTTTCATGTTTTTATTAATTGTATACTTTTACTGTACATACTATAAAAGAATGTATTACATCCATTAAGTTCAAGATTTATGATCTTGGGCGCTCCTTCTTTTCTTTGTATAAAGCGAGCAGTGAAACGTTTGCAACCTTAACAACCTTGAACCGTACACCGGGAATATCACCAACGGCGTGACCTTTACGACCGAAACCGGCAACAAGGACTTCGTCGTTCTCTTCAATGTAGTTCAAGCTACCGTCACGTGGAACGAATGCGGTAATTTTTTTGCCGTTCTTGATGAGCTGCACTCTCACGCACTTACGGATGGCAGAATTAGGCTGTTTGGCTTCAACACCACTGAAATTAATCAAAACCAATTTATTAACAAAGCGAAGGATTTAATTTAAGTTATTTTATGTATCCACTAAATTGACGAAAAGTGATGCGCGGCTCACAGTATAATCCTGTGATATGATTATTGAAATACACAAAGCACAAAAATATACTGCGTGCCGGACAACCACCAGCTGCAAACAAACAAACAATTCTTCACTTGGTTATCAGCAAATCATTTCTTCTTAAGGTTAAAGATCAAAAATTATAATTTACATACACTTTCTCGAGCACAATGCCTTTGGCATGTGATGCTCCTCCGAAAGGATTGGCCTTCCATCTGGTTCCCAAATGAGCTTTCTTGTAATCTTTATCAGCCCAACGCTGATCACGGCGATGATTCACATGCTTCCTAGCTGTGCGGAGACCTCTTGGCTTGCCTATGTAAAGACAAGTAAATTATTAATAAAATTTTTGATATTTTAATGATTTTATTTAACTAGATTTCAAAACACCCAACCTGGTCGAGATTAAAATCACATAATTGACTCTATTTAAGAGTATGTATTTATAATATTATCGAAATAATAAGACGCAATAACGATCTTAGAAAAGAATTCACTTTGAAAATTTTAAGCAGTGTCCGTGATTTATACGATATTTTGCGATAAAGATTTAACTGATGTATCTACTAATCATTCAAACGGCAATAGATTAAAACTATTTTTGAACTTTATGAGAGAAACTTTACTTACTGCCATATATTTTTCATCACGGAGCAAAACTTTTAATTATCTGAAGCTAATTCTTCCATGAAATTTCTTTAAAACAAAAGATATTGAGTATTTCTGCAACTCACCCATAATTTCCAAACTTTCTCAAGCAATGGCGGAAATAAAAGAACGAGCTGTAGTTCGGATCATATACATCTTTCAAATTTGAGCTACAACAACATGTCAAGCTGTCAAATATGCTATCAAGCAGGAAACGTTCCGAAAGCAAAAATAGAATATGGTATGCCATACTAAAGATTAGAACAAACAGAAATAATGAATGCGTTAATGAAATCGTTAGAGGGTCGAGGTAGCCGGGTGGTTAGCAGAGATTGTCATTTTGTTCCGCTTTGCAGTCGACGCCAGATTTCGATGAGCCCTGTTCCAGAGAACGTAAATCAGAGAACGTAAATACAATTTTATTTTTTATAGTTGTATTTACGTTCTCTGATGAGAATCCTGAAGAGATCCGTCTTTTTTTCCTTGTGTCCCCGAGCACGCCTCCCTATACTACCCGTTTTGGCCATAGCGTATATGAGGGACGGACAGCTTAAATTTACTAGCTTCACAATATGAGCTAACAGCCAAACAGCAAATTTAACAGCACGATGCCGACTTGCTTCAATTCGGCGGACAAAGTCTGAATTTTTATCAAAGTCGCAAGAATTTGAAACAATGCTAGTGTATGCCACATACCAATGTATATTGTTGTTGCTTCACATTTCGAAAAGATGTACGATTTGCTAATTTTTGTTACTGGAGTTTTAATACCCGGCTGCACTATGTGAACGAGTACATTGGGTTTGTTCTGCTAACGGTTTAGAATAATCGAATAAACTCTCTGTAAATAACTTCATGGAATATCGATTTAATAAAGTCTGTCCCTCCGTCTAAATATACGATAGCTCGAGTAAGAACTGACATGTTTTAAACATACGAGTATAAATATCAGTTTGAGTTTGTGACCGTCCTGATGAAGCAAATGTCGGCGGAGTCATGTGAGCAGTGGTATTTATGAATGAACACATTGCTTTGATGTCGGGCGCATGCGTTTATGAATGAAAATGTTTATTGTAATATACGTTCTTTGGTGTAGACGATTTTTGAATGCAAAATAAACTCCCCTATAATCCGAGCAAACTTGGTGTAATATGAGATAATTTTGAAATTATAGTATTGACATTGGCTGAGTGTAAATCAAAATGGGTCGCCAAACAAGTATTGAAGTGCGCGAATTAATCCTAAAACATTATAAAGATGGTAAATAACAGCGTAAAATCGCAGAAATGGCGAAATTGAGCCAAGGAACTGTTTAGCATATGATTTAACGCTATGTTCGTGAAAGTCCTGTATTAAATGAAAATAAAACGGTTTTCAATAAAATATTTAACGAAAGTGATTCCCGATGGATTGTACGGAAAATACGCGAAAACCCTCCACTTAAGTGCTCCGGCTTTAGGTAAAGAAGTGCTAAGATATCGTGGAAAAAGCTGCAACCCAGAAACTATACAAAGAATTCTCAGAGAAGTTGATTTCAATGGCCACACAGCTCAATATAAATCATTTGTCAGTGCTAAAAATCACAGTGCAAGGCTGAAGTTTGCAAAAAGTTTCTGGGACACCGTAACTTTTGCGATCGAAAGTAAATTCAACCTGTTTAGATCAGATGTCTAGAGTTTTGTATGGAGAAAACGAAAAGCTGCGTTGCAACCGCAAAATTTACGTAGCACTGTAAAACATGGTGGAGGGCATGTACTGGCATGGGGATGCACGCCATCTTCTGGAGTTGGAAATTTGGAATTCAATAGTACTATAAATAAGACTGTGTATCTGGACATTTTAAAAAGAAGTTTGTTGCAAAGTGCCTCAAAATTAAATATTCGTGACAAGTTTCGGTACTATCAGGTTAATGATCCGAAACACAAAAGAGTCGTTGTGCAAACTTGGCTTATTTGGAACTGTCCGCACATAGTACAAACCCCAGCACAGTCTCCAGATATGAATGTGATTGAGAATCAGTGGCCAGTTTTAGAACGAGAGATTCGAAAATATGAAATTAAAGCCCTACAAACAGAATGGAACAACATTGGTCATGACAACACGTAGAAGTTAGTGGAATTCATGTCCAAATGTTTGAAATCAGTCATCAGTCATGTATTAATCTTTTTGTTACTGCATCATTTTCGCTGTGAGGCACAATTTAATAGTGAAGTTTGTTTTTGTTGTTAATAACATAAAATTTATGTATATAAATAAATATATTTTAAAGCATAAATAAAATGTGTATATCTGCGGCTATTTACTGGCATTCATGATTTTTGGGAAATTTATTTAAATTTTAAATAAAACTTATACTATTTTCTACATAGCTGCATCACTTTGGCTGTGAGCCACTCATAATAAATCAGAATTGAAGTTGGTCTGAAGTTGAAGACACATACATTCAAAGAGGCCTATTTGTATATGAAAAACAGATACATATGCACAAAAACTTGCAAATTCTCTTCCCAAAAATTTGCAAATCTGAATTTCTGAGAACATTTTGTTCCATACCTCTGCTCACATGGATCGGCTTACCCGTCTCAACAATTGCTTCATCGGGACGGTCACAAACTCACACATGTAAGGAAGACTAAATTCGAGTGGAAGCGAGATATTCGGCTGATATTTATACGTTTAAAACATCTCAGTTCCTTATCTCACCATTCCATGAAGTTTTTTACATAGAATTTATTCGATTGTTTTAAAATTGTTTTCGGAACAAACCCATTGTACTCTGTTCACATAGTACAGGCGGGTATAAAATATCCCGTAACAATCTTGCGACTTTGACAATAATTCAGACTTTGTCCGCCGAATTGAAGCAAGTCAGCTTCGTGCTGCTAAATTTGCTGTTTGCCTATTAGCTCATATTGGGAGACAAGTAAATTCAAGTTGTGTCCGTACGTCATATTCATTCTGTCAAGTATACATATATATGTAAATATGTATGCTTTTCAAACTATTTTTTGCAATTAAATCGGCTCTTTTTTATTTTGGTACGAAATTCCGTTTCGCCGTCATAATTGTCCCGCTGTGCTACGAAAATCGCGAGAAATTTGAAGGAAGGTGAACTCCGGCTGTGGAGCACCACTATTCACCTCAACAAAATTTTTCAAATTGGTTCACAGTTCTTTTTCCTTCTCTTTAATATACGTTCTCTGGCCTCAGCTATGTTTCTGTCGGCATCAACCGAAGTTTCTGCTGGTTCATGCGCTTGATCTTCTACTTCATCCAAATTAAAGTCACTCTGGATGGCAATATTGTGCAATACTCCACAAGCAACACTGATTCTCATAGTTGTGCTGAGCGAAACTCTCAATCCAAGGATAGTACTAGAAAATGGCATTTCCATACTCCATATCCTCTCTCCCTGCAATTTCGAGTACGGATTTGGGTTTCATTGCGAAAACGTTCAATAAAATAATCCTGTCATGTCCAGAACCAGGTCACCTGCATACAAAGTGACCTTTCTTCTTCATAAACTTTCGGCAAGTTGTTTTCCAGGTGATTAGAATCTTACATTAGTGTAATTTAGATACCCCAACATCTTTAGAAACTTCAGAATTCGGTGAAAGGTGCGCATGTGCTCTCAATTTGCTTACTTTTTGTTGGCATTCTGATGAATAATTGGAAAGAAAATAAAAGAAAATACTTTTCTTTACCAATGTTTCCACTAATAAAACAGAAGCAATGAATTCAATTAATGATTTGTTGTTAATTCAAATGATGAAAGGAGAATTCTGGCGCATTTAAGAATTTCTTTCTAATATAATAATGTGGCTTAATTTTGTTATGTTATACTCTATTTATAGCATGCATTTAAAGGTCACACTTTTGCCTAGCCTCTGGGGTTTTTTTTACCCGGTCGCCCGATTCGGTCAAATGTGAAGCTTTCGCTCACTGTTTTCTTGGACTGGAATGGGATGCCGGATCATGAACTCTTTTCACAAGGTCGTACGGCCAATAAGAAATACTACCTAGAAGTTATGCGCCGTTTTCGTGAAGCAATTCGTCAGAAAAGCACATAATTGTGGAAGAAACAATCATGAATTTTGCACCATGATAACGCAGATGCTTGAGGATATAAAAGAAAAAATCGAAACAAGAGCTATTGGCGATACCAAAAACGAGTTTCGGAGATATTTCGAGGATATATCTGAGGGGGACAAGATAGTTAATGCTGAATAAATAAGTACTTTTTGAAAAAAATGAAAATAACGGTTACTTTCTGATCACGTATGTGCTTGTATATATGCAATTATTAATAAATATTTCAAATAAAGGAGTTTGCAGATAAAGTTGAATTAATTCAAGAAATATTAGAGAGTTTTGAAGAAATCGCTCAGGTTGACTCTGATGAATGGGTAGAGTTAATGTTTAATCAAATGTAAAAATATATAAAAGAAGTAGATAAAAAAATCTGTGTCTTTCTTTACACACACATATTGTTTTTGTTTTAGAAATATTAAAAAGCGCGAAGCGACCGAGTGTAAAATAAAGCGGAATAAGGGGAAAAAATAGAGAAGAAACAAATGTCAAAAAAATTTCTAGAACAAAGTGTCTATGTTTGAGCTTGAAGGACGATGCAAAAAAAATATGATAATAAGCGAGAAATTGATCCTCTTGTAAACTCAGACTTAGAAAAGTATAGTCTACCTTAGAATGTCAGTAAGAATTAGAATCAGAAATGAAATTGAGAGAGAATAAAATGTTTTACTCTTCCATAGAGATGAATTTATTGAGTTTTCACCGAACAAGATTTAGTAAAAAATTGTCAGTAAGTTGTACAACAGCTATTTTTTATTTTGACAGTTACATTTGAATCCGTTCATTTATATACAATAATTTGTTCTATTCTGCTTTTAAGTGTTTATTTAAAACTTGAAACTTTATGGTATTTTTAAGTATTATATATAAATTATTGTAATGTAACAGAGCATAACATAAAATAAAAATTCTGATATGATTTTTTTCCAGCATTCCTAATAACTAATTCCTCAATGCAAACTGTGGAATGTGCGGACGATGATTCCACTCCACTACCTCCAAATTATCGTGTAATCTATTCACTGTTTGATTAAAACCTTGTTATCATTCAGTTGAATTAAACAAAATGCATTTAACCATTTATTATGTTAGTATATCATTTGTATTAAAGTATAAATATTATTTTCATGTCAAATAGTTTTTGTCTTCTCGACGAAAATACAACCGTTTGATAAGGCTGAAAGTTTCCCAACACGAATTTGCAACTTTCTCAATTAAATATCAAAATTTCGCTTTTTACTGGCTTTTTGGTTCACCGAACTCGGTTCAGTGTAGAGAACTAATAATTTCGGAATAATATATACATATTTGCGCACAATAAAATTAATGTTTTTGGTAATTATAGAATTTTCACCCAGAAATTTTCATTAAAAAAAAAAACACAGACTCATAGATACTCCCCATTGCTCTCCAACGTGAAGTTGATAGCATCCAGATGCAAAGCATCATTGATAGGTATATTATTAACCGTTTCTCTGTAGAAATTTCTGTTATACTCTTGCCCTTTAGTTTAGTTTCTTCCACTGAAACTTGCGTTAATCTTATACGTGTAGATTCCGAAATTCAGTGATAAAACGTGTGTCAATTAAACAAAATGCATTTTTGTTTATTATTTTATTTTTATTTTTATACAGCTTACGTAATTTACTCAACTTAATTAAAAAACAATACTTTGTCGATAACTTCAAAATATTCGTCACTTAGCGATAGCGAATAACCTTAAAATAAGTACACAGAATATTAAAATAATTAAAATTGACGACCCCTTAAAATACAATAGAGAATGCCGCCACAAATAAAAAAATACATAGCACTTGCGAAGCGGTAAGGTCACCGATCACCCGTTTTCAAAACCCAACGTAGAAAAATGCTGAGAATAAAGAAATAACTGTTTGGGAATGCAATCAACATTCTTGAGCCACTAATAAATATTAAAGCACCACTGAAGACCTGAACCAGAACTGAAATATAAAATACGACTTGTTTTGCGGAACACCCCGGTATTTTATCCAAATACTGCTTCAAAATATATTTTATGTATGCGCAACCATAACAGTTCTATTCGGTGGGAAACGCCAGTAAGGAATAGCTAGTAACGAAGTTCAGAGAGGGCGACGCCGAAGGGAGCAGTGTACAGTGTCGCGCTCGTTCAACACGTTTTGTGTTTCCATTCGTCTCTTTAGATTTCGACATTCCCTTTTATTTGGTTTTTCACTTTGAACTGATTGTAGCTATCTTAAATTTCCAACGAATAAATGCTATGAATTTGAAAATTTAAATTTGCGATTTTACTTCAATATTTACATATGTACATACTTATATGTATGCATATGCCTATGCGTATAAGTATCTATTGTAGTTATTAACATTTCAGATAATATAATAATAGTATGTGTGCTGATAAAGTTGAATCAATGCAAGAGATATTATAATGAATTAAAGAAGCCGTTGAGATTAACTCTAATGATAGTGAAAAGGACATATCTTCATGTGAAAGTTTGTAATTAGATTATTTTTAAAAATATCGTTTCATCAGCAATCACCACCAATTACCATCACTGCTATTTTAAAACTAGAATATGGTGGACATAATTAAGATAACTAGGTAAAGATGCAACCGGTGCGGGAATACTCTATTCTATTATAACAATTTTCGTACCATGTGGTTGAGCAGCTCTGGTTTGAAACCAAGTCGCCAGTATTTTGGTTATGCGTGCTCTCACCGCTGAGATGCGAAGAGCTCTCCAGTGAAAACAATCTCTATCACTCTCTATGAGAGTATTCATTAAACATTTTATGTGAATTAAATTTTGCTAAAGTAACTTAGACGTTGGTGACGATCGGAGCCTAGATATGCGCTTCTTAGTCACAACTCTTCTGTAAGGCTGAACTATTTAGATAGTCCCCCCACAACCAAGTTTTTGGCTAGACGCTGTACCTTGTCTGCATATATGTATTTTAATATTGGATGAGTGCATAAGTTCGTGCCCTATTTCAAGTGCAAACTAAAATTTAAATTTTTTGAAGAAAGAGCATTTATTAATCAATTATGTATTCGCCATCATGTTCGGCAATCCACTCCCAACGTTAAACCAATTTACGGATGCCTGATTCATAGAAATCGGTGGTTTTTGACGTCTTCCACATTTTTAAATTTTTTTCTATTCAAATTGTTCTGCAGCGATCGAAACAAATGATATTCAGAAGGTGCAATGTCGGGTGAATATGGGGGATGCGGCATGATTTCCCAGTTCATCTCCTTCAGTTTGGCCAGGGTCGGTTTTGCAACATGTGGCCTGGCGTTGTCATGATGGAAAAGAACTCCTTTGCGATTGGCCAAAATCGGACGTTTTTCATCAATTGCTTTCTTCAATTCGACCAATTGCTGACAATACTTGTTGGCAGTGATCGCTTCTCCAGCTGGCAAGAGCTCAAAATAGATCACGCCTCGGATATCCCACCATGCACAGCAGTACCTTCATCGGATGCGATCCACCTTTCGACATCGGTTCCGCCCCTTCGTGTGCCTGTTTCCATGTTCTTTTGCGTTGAACATTGTTGTACAGGATCCATTTTTCATCACCAGTCACGAGCCGATCCAAAAAAAGTTCGTTTTTGATCCGTCGAAGCAAAGAAATTGCTGTTGACATACGGTCCACTTTGTTTTTTTCACTCAACTGATGTGGCACCCATGCATCGAGCTTCAAAGTGTACCCAACCTTTTTTAAACGACGAAACGCAGTTGATTTGTTGACGTACAATTCACTGGCAACCTCTTCCGTCGAAATACTTGAGTTATTCGCAACTAAAGTCCTTAGAACTCGTCATCAAGCTCAGAAGGCCGTCTACTGCGAGGTTGATCTTCGAGGTTAAAATCTCCAGAACGAAATTTCGCGAACCATTTCTTTACTGTGCGGAGTGCTGGAGCACGGTCCAAATAAACTTCGCGAATATTTTTAGTTGCAGCGCCTAGTGTTTTTCCTTTGCGGAATTCGTATAACATAAGATGACGCATATGATCTTTTTCGTTGTCCATCTTCCATGCGTCTTTTCACTAAGCAACTCAAATCAAAATGAAGTTATTTTATGCTTGATTTACAGGACTGTCACCTTTCCAACGATATATAATATGTATATATTTCTTTCACGAGCGCCACTCCCAAACGATTCGAACGGCATCCAGCGGAATCGGGCACGAACTTATGCACTCATCCAATATCTTCTAGTGGTGTACATGGTAAAAGCGCCAAGACTAGCAGGAAATAATCCCAGATTTGTGCCATAGAGATTGTGAGCTTCACATTGTATAATGTAAGATTTGGTCAACTCTGTTATTTTCAAGAGATGTAATATAATGTTATTAATAATAAACAAGATATTTATTACAAATTGCTTTATCATCTAACATATGTATGTATGTGTGTATGCATGTACTTTAACTTTTTCAAAAATCGGAATATTTATAGGTAAACAAAAAATACGCTGGTACATATTGTAAATAAAAATAAACATATGTTCATATGTATGAATGTTTGTATGTACATATATAATATGTAGGTCGACTTTTTTTTAATCGTTGAGAAAAAGTGTTGATGACATTTATTTAATGGGTTGTTGTTGTTTTTTTAATAGTTTTATAATACATTGCACGCGTTAAGTCTAGTCTCTTTCGCCAAAAGTGATTTCCATTGTTTTATTTGTTTACTCGTATTTGCTTTCCGTCTACCGGTCGATATGGCAGTGACAATTTGTCCGCGCCTAGTATCGCCGCACAAAACATAAATACATATGTAAGTACTTATAAATGGTGAACATAATACATACCAAGTTCGGATGTCTGTGTAACTGTGTAACACATACAAGCATTATTTATCAATACTGTGCTAATGTGACGAAACTCTGCACACAAGCTGTCGCGTCATAGGTTATGACTGAGACACTGGTGTGGCGCTATAACCAATATTTCACCGTTTCCGCTATTACTTCTGACTACTTCTGAAACCGATATTTTATTTGTTGTAATTGTTGCCGTATGAGTATTAAGCATTGGTATTGAGGATGGGAATGACAATGTCGCCACTTGCTAAAGAGTTAACATAGCAATACATACATTCCTACAGCTTGCATACAAACATGTGCATAGTATATAAATATATTCATACACACATACATATATAAGTATAATATTTGAGAAAAAATAAACATTTGACGCGCATTCCTATTCATTGCAAAGTATCGAACACGAGTGATGAGGCGCGCTTCTCGGCCACTTTCAGCAATAATCGGCAAATTTTCAGCACTTGAGTGTGCGGAGAACAAATTTGCTGCAAACATTTCCCGCTGCGAGGCAAACCGAAAAGATTTCAAATACTGATCGGGTTCTTAGCAGTTTATATTCATTTCTACATATTAAGTACAAATATACTCATATGTACGATACATACATACATACATACATACGAACGAATGTATGTCCCAACCACGTTTGCGTATACGCTCGCATTCTTGTACATATCTACAAATACTTGTTCGGTGCATGCTGCTCCCTTGTTGACTTGCTGTCGTACTCTACGCATACGTATTATTTGTATGTGTATACCACCGTATGCGGCTGGCATTGCTTGCTTGCTGTCAGTCTGTTGCTTTGCTACTTTTACTTTGCCGCTTTGACTTTGGGGCTTTTTGCTCTTTTGGCTTCGCCGCCTTTCGGTTTCAACTGTTGGCTCGTTGATTGTTGGCGCTTACGCGAGTGTATTTTCGTTGTTTTGTGCTGTTGGCGCAGCCACAAAAGTTGAAATGGCCTGGCCGCTTACTGTCGCTCCATGGTGCTGTTTTTGTGTGCCGCGCGCTTATATTCTCACATAAACAATATGTAGCTAGAGCGTTGAGCCGCGCACAATTCGATTCCTTTAGTTATCTGAAAGCAGTCTGAGGAAACGGTTGCGGGCTCGTCGCCACCGGATGATAAGCAATCGTCTATTTAAAATTGATCGGCACCATTGGTGATAATTAGTTAATGTTTAGTTTTCGCTTTCATGCCGCCACGGCTTAACATACACGTCTACAGTTTCTAGCGCTAAGTACGGAAGAGGTGTGCACATGCAATCAAACATACACACATAGTTAGTGCACCAACAACGAGCAAGAGTAAACCACGCATTGCTCAACATTCGCTTCTTACTTTGTCCGTTTGCATTTTTGTTTTTCTTTTTTTCTTTTTACATATAATACTATTAGAACAAAACGGTGAAATATATGTATGTATATACATATGTTCGTAATTGCATGGATTCGTATGTATGTATGTACATAAATACATAAGTTGACATTTACACACAAGCATAGTTTGAGAAAATAGAATTTCAATATATACTTGTATGTATCACAAATATAGACACGCATGCATTTATGTACATATGTATGTACATACATACTCAAAAGTGTAGTGCTCGGGAAAGTAAATTTAAACGAAAGGTAAAAAATAAAAAGTATTTAAATTTAGTAAAAAGTCTCAATGAAGACGAAAACGAATCAATAATAACAACATCATTTGTGTGGAAAGTAAAAAGTGCAACAAAGAAATTCCTTAATTTTGTGCAAAATACAGAAATTACATATGGACATACATATGTATGTGTAACCAGTAAAAATTAGAAGCAGCATTTGCGACGAGTGTTTGATCACATATCCCAACTAAATACACGGAACATACATACATTCATATACTTGCGCATACGATTTACCCCACACATTCAAGTCGGAGTGTGTGTGCAACTTTTACTTGCATACCTACATATGTATGTACAAGTACACACTTAAACCTACGGAAGGAAAGGCAAACTGGCTTAGAAAGTATCGCCCACTGTTTGAGCAGTACTTTCCCAGTTGCAGAAAGCTAAGATCTCCACTGCGCCCTTGATTAATCAGCCACCATCCCAACCAAATTGAAAGCAACCGAACTTGCTTCCGCGCATGCAAACAGCTGAATCTGCGTCGACAGACATCTGGAACTACAGAGAAGCAATTCAACGACAAAACCAACAAAGATAACAACTATCGCCTAAAACAACAGCAATAACAGCAATAACAACAAAAACAACAGCTAATAACAACGATAAGAGCAAAAATACCAACTGGCATAATACAATAATAACAAAGACGACAACAACGCCACCAACGACAACTAAAGCAAGTGTGCATCGACTGCAACGATTAATATTGCCGTGTTCATTTAGTATTTATTTATTCAATACACTGCAGGTAAATGGAAATTATTATCGTACTTAGCTTATATAAAATTATATACATTGGTAGGTACATATATACATATGTATGTATGTATGTGTGTATATAAACATGCGTTTATGTATTATACGAGTATATGGATTTAAATTTATATATGCACACAACATACTTATATTTATATGCGAATACGCATGTATGTATGTATATAACTGTACACACATACATATGTATAAGCTGGCTAGCTTTACTTTAATCGATCGATCGTGGAGTATCAAATAGATTGACAGTGCAATCAATAAAGAAACTGGTCGTCGCCCAGACGCTGTCTCATACCCCAGTGAGAGGCTTACATATAGCCTAATACTACGATCCTAAGATTTTTCTTGCTTACCCTGGTGTGTTTACTCTATGCACCTACCTACATACATACAAATATACATATTGCACATTATCATGGACTGACATACATATTTATGTACAAACTTATACATACATACATACATACATATTATGTTCTTTCCGATTTTGACTATTTTAATGGAAAACTTTGGGCACACACACCACCACTAAGTCATTTCCAACAACAAAAGCGTGTAGTAAGTGTAGTAAGTGAGAAATCGTTGTCACTACTACCACTTGGTTTCCAATATACGCGCCAGACACGTTCTCATAAACACTTAACAAGTCATGTTGGCGCTCGCAGTGGCTTTTGCTTTCGCACCGGCTACCGGTAAACGTATTGCGCACGAAACACACGACTAGTTGCGACTATTGCTGCCCGGCGCATTTACTGCTTTAACGAATACTATTCTCGAAGGCGTGCATGCCGATTGAAGTGAAGTGTGAGTGTTGTGTTGCTGTTGGTATTAGTATTGGCTTTGGTATTGGTATCGGTGTACTAAGGCCGAGGCTGTTGCCGTTGGTTATGGCGTTGACGACGTTAGCGCTCCCAGCAGAGGCTGGGTTGAGTGTATCGCAGAATTGGTAATACGCGGATAGGTGTTTTACCAGGCCTCTTGTATAGTCTCATGTTAGGTAATGGCTTCGCGAAGTGTGTAAAAGCGGTTTCTCCGGTTAAGCAGTTAAGGTAAGAAGCAAAACGAAAAGGCAAAACATGAAAAATAAACAACTTTATTTAGAAATGAAAGAATCTGGTCGATTTGGTCAGTGGATTTATTAGTGGATTGCACTTATTGAGGAACATACTAGTACAACACATTTGTACATGTGTATATATATGAATGTATATTTTTCTGAAGCACTTGTGTCCAATCATTTTATATCTACGATCTTTTTTCTCAACAGACTGCTTCTATTTAGAACAAACTTAATCCGATACCCGCTTCTTCGTAATGTTACCTTTTTCGTACTGGAAGTTCTTTAAAGCTAAAATTAAAGAAAATTAAAAGAAATCATAATTTCTACACACCTCCACGCCAACCGATGGAGGAACACCCCTTAAAAGTAATCGAAAAATCCAACAGACCGTTGGCCGGATAGCATTGTCAATCCGGGTTGACCTGAACCCGAGAGCTAGCGCAGAGGGTCGAGGCTATCATTGCCTTTTACACCAAAAAATTTTGTTTTGCCCTTTTTTGGTATAAGTTTTCACTCCTGTTGAAGAGATTCAAGTGTTATTGAGTGAACTCCTTCACTTATAACCGCTTGCATGTTTCTAAAGTTAAATCAACTAATTTAAGTGCCATTTGAAGTTCGGCATAGTGGAGCAACACATTCACTTTAGACGAATTCATACGACCGAATTCATTCATAAAAATTTTCGGTGATCGCAATCATTCGTAGAAATCTTGAATAAGATCGCCTCACACAGATTGAGGAATACACAGGTTTAAGTGTGTTTTATACATTTATAATGCATTGGTGTTATAATCAAAGTAAAAAGTTTTGTTGTGCTGGTTTCAACAACGTGTTTATTTTTTTAAACATTGCCGTTTTCTGCAAAGTTCCCGTACGGCTTAGCAGCAAAGTTGGCGGTTAACATGTACATACACATGCATATAAGCCTGTACATATGTATGTATGTTCAAATGTACATCAACATAGAAGTATGTGAACAGTATCGTGTGAGTCTGCAGTGGCATAATACGGCATTCCGAAAGTTTATCGCAATTATTCTTAAACATTGATGGTGAAAATTTATATGTATGCATGCACATTTAGTAGGTATAATAAATAAATTTACAAATAAAAATGCCGATTGCGAAATCATTATCAGCTGCACGCAGCTTAAGGGGGCCGGTACAAATAAATATTTGCTAATTTCGGCGATAAATTCGAAATAAAAAACCAACATACTAATTTCGAGCTTTTTAATTTAACACAATTATAGTATTTGCTTTAAATAATAGCTGCACTTGAGTGCACGTGCTTTTATAAGAGAGTCATGAGTTCATGACAGATCAACGTGTCATTCGACAATTAAGAAATGCTACAGAAGCATGTGGAAATTTATTGAAAGTGCTTGGTGAAGCTATAGTTTCTGATAGGACATGCAGAAGATGGTACGAGAAATTTGAAACAGGCGATTTCGACCTTTCTGATAAGCCAAGGCAATGTTGGAGCAAGATCCTTTTCTGGAAAAATTGGAGATCGCAGAAAGGCTTAGTTCAGCTCAACAAACCATTTCTGACCATATTCGGAAGATAGGTTTGATGTGGAAGAATTCAAGTATTTTGAACGGACAGAACTTTCTGATAGCCCTATTATAAAAATTTCTGATAAGCGAATAAATATATGTATGTATGTATGTGTATTATATAAACCATATTACACTGAACATTGCAGATCTGTCCATACATGTGAAGACCTAATGTTTTCCGAAGAAAATCTTATATAAAGTTTTGCCGTTCAAGGTATTAATTAATTAATATCTTTTCCAATTGAGTTCAGTTAATTTTTGACGGGCTATCAGAGAGATGTAAGGTCGCCTTTTCGATTACGCCGTTCACGCAGTGCTTTCTTGATTTTTTTCTACACACAGAGTGGTTAATATATTTTGGTGAAAATTTCCTTCAATGTCTGTTGTGGAAACCACTTTGTTTGGTCTACGCCATTGTAAGCAAACCATTCCTAGATTTAATCCAGCTTGTTTCGTTTGTAATCAACATTTGTAATTACGTACACTTATGGGAGTGCAAGAAAACGTGCGTTTTTATGTTCGGTGAACGAGAGGGCTATAAGGATCTAGTCTTTGAGATAGTGTCAACCAAGCAACATAAGCCGGAGTGAAATATCGAAAGAGTCGAATATTGTGTCGTTAAGAAGTTCTTTACCAAGTGAGAACAATCAGTTGCGGTCATAATGACGGAGATGTCATTGGTTTACGGCATATTTTTAATTACCCAATCAGAGGTGAGAGGTTAACAATTTATCACCGATAATGATGTCAAAGAGACAGCCTCGACGTATTTTGAAGATAAAGAGAAAACATTATTAACGAAACATAATTTGGTTTTTTCACTTCTACCTCTTACCTTCCATTTCGTCAGCATGAAAAAACTCTCTCGTATATTGGGATGCTCTACATGCATATATTTTGTCGTCATCAGAAGTCGTTGAACGGCCAGTATGGAGTGCACACTCAAATTGCTAGAACGAAAGCGGACGTTCAGTTAATTCCTTATAACACCAGTGAACGATTAATCATAGTGATATAATTTTTAACCAATTTGTTTTAAGTCTAAATTCTAATCTTTGAAATATAATATAAATTGGCACTTTGAAACCGTTGAAGTGATTTTTCGGCGAGCTCCTCCTCCAATTTGTGGTTTTGCGCCTTGATGTTTTCCAACAATTGGAGGAACCTACAAATTATACTAGCCGCCTCCGAACGGATGATGGTTTTTTATGAGGAGCAGTAAATATGATATAATATAGTCAGGAATTCCTTAATTCCTTGTTTTAAAAATACCTTTGATTCTCTTAAAAATTGCGTTGGTATTATGAATACACATGTGTGAATGTATATAAATACATAAACATATACGTTTACTAATTTATGTTTATACATACATACATATTATATAAGCACAATTTAACTATTGCCTTTCGTCATTGAACATTTTGACACATGTTCTCGTATTTAGATGATTTTCAATTCACTCTCACTTTTTCCGATCGCAGCATTTGAAGAATTTGACCTTCTCGATAATTATTTATTACAATCAAACGCAATGGAAATACAATTTATGCTGACATGCGTAAATACTTGAACCTATGAACGGTGTTAGAAAGAGACTATTGGAATTGGAAATGTTACGTTTCTATGTAGCATTTACAGACACGTGTATGTATTTGATGATTTATTGCATAATGCAATTCTGAACAAATGTATATCTGTATCTGTATAACTGATGATCGGTAGTCACTCATAAGAAATATATAAATATATATAAAAGTAATGCTTGTTGTGCGAAAACAACATCAGATAACTTTTAGTGCTAAAATTTGTATGTACGTACGAGTACATATGCATGGCCACTTGTGTAAATTTGTTGAACAAAGTTTGGTGTTCGCCCAAATCTATAAGTGCCGATTGATTATCAGATCAGGTGGTTTTGGGGATGACTTTAAAATGGGAAAACAAAACAAGATCGTAACTATGCTCAATGATTTCAAACACTTTAACTACTCGCACTACTACTTCAACACTATCGTTGTATTGACAATATACACGTATAAACATCTACTGCTTTAATATTCATTATAGAAGGAGTAGAGGATAAGATATTATTGTAATTATATCACTATGATTAGATTATCTTTATTTGAAATATTCTGTATTCAATATTTTGTATCTTAAAATTTTTAACTTTTCTTCATATTATTTAAAATTTTATTCCTTCCATTTCGATTTTTTTTAAATATAATTTGAAAATTTGCATTAATTTGATTTTAGATTTAAACGCATAAATTGTGGATGCTGCTGTTGTTGTTGTTGTTGTTGTTGTTGTTGTAACCGCAAAATTATTCCCTAAAGTACTTTTTGGAGAATATTGCGGGAGTGACAGTCCCGACTGTCGCGGGATTTTAGTCGCCACTTACGACAGGCATTCTTGAGCGCCTAACCCGCAGGGGCTCATAAATTGTGGATAATTGGTCATGCTTTTGTAAAAGAACAAGTTGAACTTTCCCTTCTCTGTACTAAAATCAAGAATCAATTGTCTATGGGTGAAGGGAAATACTTCGTAATTACCACAGTCTTTGTATGGAGTGAGAATAACTGAAGTTGTAGTAAAGTAATTTGGAACCAATAACTAATGATTTAAGCTCCAACGGTCTTTAAGGGGTTACATAGGTCTTGAAACTTCAAAAAATTCATGTTTTGATAATATTTTATATAAAAGTACAAAGTGTCAGGAATATTTTCCCCAAGTTTCAAGTCGATCGAGACGAAAGTGTAGAAATTAGAGAGTTTCATAACCCGCCGTCTTTGTCGTGGTTTGACCGATAATGAAACTTTAAATGCGTTTTGCTTAAAGCCATTTTATAGAAATCGGTAGTCAAAATTTATCAACGACTATTGAAGCGATCAAGTTCAAATTTTCCATACTTCTCTTAAATATGTTTTTGTAGTCCCTGAATGAAGGATTTGTTTTATCTTTCATTTCAACTCATTTTACAAGCCAATTTATGGCCTAATTTTATGCAAAAAAATGCCCTTTTTTTGTTAAAAACGCTATTAAAATTTCAATTTTTTTTTTAAATTTTCTTTTACTTTAAGAATTACTTTAAGAATGGATTTTTGATTTCAGATAAAAATTGAAAAAGGTATCATAACACCCGCGAAAGCACTTTCTTGTGGACGGTCTACTTAACGACACTGCCAACGCCTTAACTTATACTATTTTTCAATCAAATTTTCATCAATTGTTGTTCACATATTGTACTTTTATATTTATTCAAAATAAATTGTATACTAGGCAAAAAAAGCTTTTTTTCCTTCAAGACCTATGTAACCCCTTCAATATGCTTTTCAGTCTTTTTAGATCTATCTATCTTATGTATTGTACTTACAACAACAGTATGGATGTACAGTGTGGTGTATACAAGATTTCCGACTAACCTATAAGGCTATGTGTTGACTTACACTGATTATTTTTACCTATAATATATTATTGTACTATTATTATTATTAGCAAGCTCTTCTGATTATATAAAGCGTATTTACGTATGCACATACCTACATATGCACGTACAGATGTATTTGGACACGGGAATGTTCATATGCAATTTAAATACTGATAGTACCAGTTTCCTTAGATAACCTAAGCACCTTTCATTTATACATATTTTGAAATGAGTAACTTTTTAAGGCTCATTTTGGTTTAGCTAATTATAGTGGATAAAATAGAAGCGAAAAGGCAAAAAACAAAAAAAAAACAAAAACAAAAAATGAAGAATGAGGAAAAGAAAGCTATGAAAATCATAAGCTATAGTCCCTGATGGAAAATTTAAAAAAAAATTTATTTATTAAAGATATATAAATAGTTAAAGGAAAAAAAAAGAATTCGAGGTCGAAGTCCTGGAAGGGCAAGTTAATTTAGTTTATTTGAACCACAAGTAAAGTATTTATCAAGGTGGCTCAAGCAGCTCGCGACTTTCGTTCTTAGATCAAGTATCCTCTGGGTAGCCAACGCACATCCATTTGGAGGCGAGCTAAAGTGACAAATCGAATCCCATGCGGTTGTGCGTAGGGTTTGAGAACCACCGCATGGAAAATGAACTCCAATGAAATATCATTAAGAGCCTCGGATGAGAGACCCCCCTTTTAATGATGAATCCTCAAACGTTTAGGAATAGGGCATACACTTGAAATGTTCGGTCCCTTTTCCGCTAAGGTGCCGCTGCTCAGCTGGTCGATATCCTCGTCAAATTAAAGGCTGCCTTCACGACCGTCTAAAAACTGCGATGAACTTAACAAGGGCGGTAGATGTTGTGTCCTTGTTAAGTGTACTACAGCGCCGCAACAATTGGTTTTCAGTAGGGCCAGTATACCTGGTATGGAGGAATGTCGAATTGCAATGGTGTTAAAAAATACTATCTACGTCGGAACCTTGCGATCGATCACAGCACGGGGTCGAAATCGTGAGTATGAAGTGCTTGAGAAGCTGGCTGACAAGGGTAATGCTCGAAAGTTCTACGAAAAGATGCGGCAATGCACAGATTTGAATATACTCATGAAGGAACCAAGGTGTTATCTGGTGACCCATGCCCAGAACACACTTGCTGGAGTTAACACTTCTCCATCCTGTTTTGAATAACAGTGAAAGGGCGATGGCGAACGGAAATCTTAATCGATGATGATGGAAAATATGTCCATGCATGACGAAGTTCGAATAGCGATTACCCGTTTAAAGACCTAACGCTGGTACCGAACAACGAAAAGAAGAAATAAATGGCACGCTTCTGATGATTTAGTTATAAACGCGTAAGCGGTGCCTACGCCAATGAAAAAAAAAAGAATTAAGGTAGAGTTGTTTTTGAACTTAACCTAAACTTAACTTGTGTTCCAACTATATAACTTTACCGTCTGTCAATCATACTAAAACCCATTTCTCTTATTGAGGTATGTGACTTGTAAAGTTTCACATCACCCCATGGTACACCTGAGTAAACATTCATGTAATTTCTTAACCTGCCAATGCGACAGAAAACGTGCGAGAGAGGTATCTATTAAATTGACGCTTTGTAACCAGTGACTGCCTCATCCTATTTGTGGTTGCGCGTCTTGATTATTTTCCAACAAATTAAGGAACCTACAGTTTATATGGCCAATGGATTTTTATGAGGAATCGTCATTCTGATATCAGATATGCAGTCGTAAGACTTAACAATCCCTACCATGGGGCGACCGCAATTAAAAAATTAATTTTGTATAATTTTGGTTTGGTCGGACCAGGAATCGAACCTTGCGAATGGTAGTACGCCTTGCTAACCACTCTGGTACTGTGGCGATTGTGAACCTATTTTTTATAATGCTTAAAATATCGTGACTTCCGTTCGTTCTTGCGAAATGTTTAGTTCATTGGTGGATTTCCATTTAACTCTGCTTCTTTAACAATTTGTAAATAGTTCTAAAATTTGATATAAATTTTTAAAACTAATAAAATTTTACGCTTCTATTTACTGCTGTAAATATTTAACATTTGAGTGATTAAGTAAAAACCGAGAGATAGCAGAAAAAATAGATATTCGAAACAAACAAAGCAATCAAAAATTATCGTTTTCGAGGCAAGAGAAAGTATTATC